TCAATGTCTTTCTTGTAGTGAGAGGCCCAAAACTGAACACAGTACTCGAGGTGGGGCCTCACCAGTGCTGAACACAGGGGAACAATCACTTTCCTAGTCCTGCTCACCACACTGTTCCTGATACAGGCTAGGATGCTGTTCACTGCCTCTGCCACCTGGGCACTCTGCTGGCTCATATTCAGCCAAATGTTGACCAACACCCCCCAGGTCCTTTTCTGCCAGGCAGCTTTCCAGCCTCTCTTCCCCATGCCTGTACCACTGCATGGGGTTGTTGTGACCCAAGTGCAGGACCTGGCACTTGGCCTTGTTGAAGCTCATAATGTTGGCCTCAGCCCGTTGGTCCAGCCTCCAGTTGTTTGCTAGAGATCCAGTTCTCTCTGTAGAGACATTCTATCCTCAAGTATGTCGACATTCCTGCCTAACTTGGTGTGGTCTGCAAACTTACTGAGGGTGCACTTGATCCCCTTGTCCAGGTCATTAATAAAGATATCAAAGAGAACCGGCCCAAATACTGAGCCCTGGGGAACACCACTTGTGACCAGTCCCTAACTGGATTTAACTGCATTCACCGCCATGCTCTGGGCACAACCATCCAGCCAGTTCTTTACCCAGCAAAGAGTACACCCATCCAAGCTATGAGCAACCAGTTTCTGAGATCGGGTTTGTCAAGCATGACCCATGATGACTGGGTCTGATCACCTGGTTGTCCTGCATGTGGTGCATAATGGCACTCAGGATGATGTTCTCCATAACCTTCCCAGGCACTGAGGTCAGACTGACAGGCCTATGGTTCTCCGGATCCTCCTTCCAGCCCTTCTTGTGGATAGGCATCACATTTGCTATCCTCCAGTGAACTGGGACCTCCCTGGTTAAGCAGGACTGCTGAAAAATGGTGGAACGTGGCTTGGTGAGCACTTCTGCCAGCTCCCTCAGTACCCTCAGGTGGATCCCATCTGGCTCCATAGACTTGTGTATGTCTAAGTGATGTAGCAGGTCACTCACCATTTCCCCGTGCATTATGGGGACTTCATTCTGCTCCCCATCCCTGTCTACAAGCACAGGGGGCCGGGTACTTGGGGAACAACTGGTCTTACAGCTAAAGACTGAGGCAAAGAAGGCATTAAGTACCTCAGCCTTTTCCTCGTCCTTTGTCACTATGTTTTTGCGCCCATCTAATAAAGGACAGAGGTTATCCTTAGTCCTCCTTTTATTCCTAATGTATTTATAGAAACTTTTCTTATTGTCCTTAACATCAGAAAGCCAGGTTAAGCTCTAGTTGAGCTTTGGCCCTTCTAATTTTCTCCCTACATAGCCTCACAACATCTTTGTAGCCCTCATGAGTGGCCTGCCCCTTCTTCTCAAGGCCATAAATTCTCCTTTTTTCCCTGAGTTGCAACCTCTCTGTTCAGCCAGGCTGGACTTTTTCCCCGACGGCTCGTTTTTCTGCACATGGAGGCAGCCTGCTCCTGCACCTTTAAGACTTCCTTCATGAAACATGTCCAGCCTTCCTGGACTCCTTTGCCCTTGAGGACTGCCTGCCAAAGGACTCTGTCAACCAGGCTCCTGAAAGACCAAAGTCTGCCCTCCAGAAGTCCAAGGTGGCAGTTCTGCTGACCCTCCTCTTTGCTTCTCCAAGAACTGAGAACTCCATCATTTCATGATTGCTATGCCCCGGATGGCCTCCAACCATCACATCCCCCACAAGTCCTTCTCTGTTCACAAACAACAGGTCCAGCAGGGCACTTTCGCTAGTTGGCTCCCTCACCAGCTGTGTCAGGAAGTTATCCTCAACATGCTCCAGGAACCTCCTAGACTGTTCCCTCTCTGCTGTATTTTATTCCCAGCAGATATCTGGTAAGTTGATGTCCCCCACGAGGACAAGGGCTAGTGATCTTGAGACTTCTCCCAGCTGTTTATAGAATATTTTGTCTGCCCCTTTATCCTGGTTGGGCAGTCTGTAACAGACTCCTGCCATGATGTCTGCCTTGTTGCCCCTCCCCCTGATTCTTACGCATAAACACTCAACCCTATTGTCACCATCATTTAGGTCTAGACATTCATAACACTCCCTAACATACAGGGCCACCCCACCACCTCTCCTTCCTTGCCTGTCCTTTCTGAAGAGTTTATAGCCATCTGTTGCAGTATTCCAGTTGTGCGAGTCATCCCACCACATTTTTGTGATGGCAACTACATCATAGTTTTCCTGCTGCACAATGGCTTCCAGCTCCTCCTGTTTGTCGCCCATGCTATGTGTGTTAGTTTAGAGGCACTTCAGTTGGGCTATTGGTCCTTCCACCTTTTTGCTGGGAGAAGCCCTCATTCCTACCTCACCATTCCCAGGCACGGCCGTAGTTTCTAACCCATCGATGTCCCTCACATCTTTCCTGCTGCACGAGTCTCCATCCTCAACCTTCACTGAGTCAGCAGACCTAGGGACATCACTAGCATCCCATCCCACAGACGTTGGTGCACCACCCCCAGGCTTACCTCTAAAGAGCCTGGTTTCATCCCCTTCCCCCTTCAAATCTAGTTTAAAGCCCTTTTGATGAGCCCTGCCAACTCCTGTGCCAAGAGGAAGTCATACTGCAAGGAGTATGGCTTTTCTGTTAACTGTGTAGTTGTGTAAAAGCTATTTATCTTCTTTTATCTGGTGGGATAACATCAGTCCTATACTTTAGGAGAGGAAGGATTCTTTGCAGCTTGTTCCCTCTTTACCCTTTGGTAAAACATTAAAATGTCTCCTTCTCTCTATGTTGCTTTTTGTCCAAACACTCATCTCTCTCCCTGGCCCGTGCCTGGGAGTAGGCCCGTCACCCTACCATGGAAATCCTCCTTTACTCTTTGCGGTGAGCCTTTGGCAACTCATGTGGTCAGCAGAATAGAAGAGCATGTGGTACAGTGTCATTGATCGTCAGTGCTGCACCAGCGGCAGAGAGAGCAACCGCTCGTGTTTGGCTCCCTGTACCTGCCTGAGTGCTTCTACACCTCCCGAACAGCAGGACAGCTGCAGCTGTGTGATAGCAGCTGTGACAGCTTTAAGGTTAGAGAACCCTTGTAAGGTGGGCCAACCCCTTCCCCAGCTAAAAATCACGAGCTTTACAGAAGCTGGCTTCAGAACAGTTATTAAAGGAAAAGAAAAAGAAAAAGAAAAAAAAAGTGAGTGAGAGAAGAAAAACACCCACCTTACATGTTAGAGATTGAAGTAAGAAAAGGCCCAGAAGACAGTAAGGACAATAAAATAGAACTAAGATGTAGTAATGCTTCATTTTATTTGATAGAAAGTTGCTTCAAAAATATGATTAACTATATACATTCTTATGTGCTGTACATACAGGTACATATACAAAATATACATAATAGCAAACATCCTTTTGTTACATTTTATGGGTGGTAGTTAATAACATGAGATAGAACTTACATCAGATTTCACACCTGCTTTCTTCCTGATTCTGTCTACAAGGAACCGATAGACATGAGAGATGAAGAAGGCTAGCAGCTCACTTAATTCATTCCCCAGCCCCCACAAAAGTCTGCTCCACAGTGCCTTTTATTAGTGTGTTGTTCTAGTAAAGTTAGGTTTGCAGCACTTTCCTTCAGCTGCTAACCTTATCTTCAGATTTTTCCTGGCATTCATCCTAATACTATTTCTAATTTATTTCTGTAACTCGGATCTCCTGAGTTACAGAAATCCTCCTCAAGTCAAGCTAGATTTCTTCAACTCTATGTTGGTTTTTTTCCCCTTTATTTTGATTCCTTAGTTGCTTGTTTGCCACGTATGAAATAGATTTAACTATTAGTATTCTCTGTTCTGGGAAAAGTACACTCAAGCATGAAAGCTATAACCCAAGTGTACTTCCCATGCTACTGGCACACTATAAACCTGGAATCAGTCAGCAAGGAAAAATATGTACGCTTCCCTCCTCCTCCTCAGGCAATAACCGGGTGTGTGACTGCCAGCTGCTCCCTGGGACACGTGGTGTTAGATCTCAAGAGGAACTGCCCAGTTACTGGGATTTTTCTGGTCCCAGTCCCATGAGGAATGCTCTACCTGTCTACTCTTTAGGTAAGAGGTAGCACACCCAAATCGAAACACAGGGAGTAGAGGCTGGCAACTCTGCCCTTTACTAGTCACTTCCAGGAGTTATCCTGCATTTCCTGACTGGAGGGGTCAGGCACCCCTATCCTATGGACCTGCTGTTCAGGGAAGAAGAGAGAGGGAGAGCTGCCAAAGCAGCAGACTACCGGCAGCAGAAGGCCTGTGAGAGAAGCCACAGCCTCCACAACCAGTCTATCCTGAAGGACTCTTCCCTGAGCTAAGAGGGAACATGGCTTCTTTCATTGCCTTTCCAACTTTCAGAGGTCAAAAACGAGCTGCTTCTTTCCTGCAGACATCTCGAGAGCTGCAGTTTCATTGCCCTAAGAATGTTCTCTTCTTTCCAAGTTAACAGCCATCCTTAAATATCTATTTTGTTTCTTATTCTCTGCTCATGTGGCCCTGTGCTTTCAAACCCCATGCTGGCCATAGTCTTCATTTCACTAGGAAATTTTTCTGTCCTCTTTTCATACCTCTATATCTTTTTTGTATTAATATGCAATAGCTTTCTCTGATCAGTAAAGCAGTTATCCATCAGCTGTCAAGGTGAAAGCAAGAGGATTAAGGTTCCTCTTACACATTCTTTTGGTATTACTTTAAATAATGTTTTTCTCTAACTAAGGGGAACTCTTCTTATATTCTTCAGAATAAGTTTCTATTTCTTGAATTACTGCATAACATGCATATATTTAATAATATCTTAAAGCCAAAGATATTAATATGCCTTCGTTTTTTTTTCTAGGCTGTGGGATAATAATTTGTTTGAGAAAATGGTTCTCAGGCTTCTGTTCTGCTACCAGTATCTCTGTTCACTTTTGCTAGGCCCATTTAGATTTTTTTTTATTTATTTTATATTACTCTTTAATCTCTGCTGGGAATTTGAACTGGTATGAAATACCTTCTGTTATTCTTTGTCTGAATTCCTGAGATCACGTTCGCAACCCTGGGTGGGAGAGGGCGCTGGTGAGCTTCTGGCGAGATGAGACTCCACTTTAGAAGTGGGTTTGAAGCACTCCTGCTGACCTTGTGTGGTGGGAGGTGGAGTCGTCAGACGGCTGTCACTTTGCTGAATTTGTGCATTAGCAGCTGGTGAATCATCATCCTGCTGGTCTTGTGTGCTGGGAGGAACAGCAGAAGAGATGATGCCCTGAGGAGCAGCTGTTGAGCCACTGTTGAGACAATTTATAAATAACTAAGCTTGAGATACTAACATTAAATGTGCAATTACTACTGTTCTTAGTTTCCAAGCAGCAGAGTTTATTAGCTAGTGAACTAGTTTTTTTCATTGACGCATTCCCCTTTTCCTTGTTTCACCTCAGCCATATGGATCTGAGATGGTGACTTGTCTGTCTCGTTGGAATTGACTCCAAGTTCCTTCTCTTAAATTGTAATCATGTTCTAGGGAAAGGCGGAGCAGGTGGGCAAGGAAGGAAGAGCAGCAAGGGAAATCAAAACTGCGGTATCACCAGTTTTAAAAGGTAGTAACTTGTGTGTTAAGTTGTTACTAAGATTTTCTCCTGACCCCTCTCTGTACTTCATTGCTGGAAGGTGAACTGAAGGAGGAACTGTGAGATTGTGAGCACTTTTAAATTCTCCTAATTTTCTTACAGAGAAAACTTGTGTCATCTGAGTTGCAGGAATCATCACTGTTATCTTGATTAGTTACAAGGTGCTTAAATGCTTTTACAGTAAGGAAATTCTGAACAAATGTAAAATTAATCCATTATAAATGCATTCTAATAATCATTCAAGAGAGTCTATGCAGACAATATCTGCATTGCTTTCAGTGGATGTTGGACTGGATTTTATATAAGGACTTATCAATAACAGACATAAAGACATTTTTAAGATATCAAGTTTAAATTGAAAGGTCTATAGGCAGTATTAAAAAACAACACAGAGTTGTTACAGTGCTAGCTCAAGATCTTCCCATCAAGGCTTCAGGAATACTATATCTGTACATGAGAAGACTCAGGAATTAGCAAAATTTATGGATTAATCTGAAGATAAAGATTTAAAATACAAAATAGTAAAGATTTTAATACTTTCAAATAAGACAGAGTTTGTGCTTCTAATAATAACAGTTTGAGCTGTTATTTTTACCTCCTGTGTCAAGAACAAGGAAAAATACTACAGGGAATCAATGCACATTCTATGTTACAAATACAAAGGACCTTTGTTTTATGAAGCCTTCTCATCTCTAGGAGAAAAGCATTAACATAGTCAACTGTATTTTAGCCAGGCTAGTGCATTTGTTTATTGTTTCTAGATGGGAAAACCTGTGTATGTGGGTTCTTTCAATAGATATTATCTGAGTATTTCTCAAGTGGTAATTCATAGACCACTGGTGGTCCATGGAGTCCTTCCAGGTGGCTTAGAGAGGAATTTTAGTAGCAAAGGTGCTTTTCAAACAATTATGTCATAATGTAGTCAAATATCTTGGGGTGGTTTTGTTTGGGTTGTTTTTGTTTGTTTTGGGTTTTTGTTTTTGTTTTGTTTTGTTTTGTTATGAAGTGTCTCACAGTTGCAAATACGGATTTCAAAACGTGCATGAGATAACTGAACTAGGAAGAAGTAAAATATTACTTCCGTATAGAAAGTCTAAGTAAGGACAAATCTGTTCTCCCTGTCTCACTGATATTAATCTCTTATCTTGTTCGTTGTTAATCTCTTATCCTATTTCTGACGAAAGGCTAAGAGTGTTCGGACTGTTTAGCCTCAAGAAGGCTGAAGGGGATTTTATCATGTGTATTAACATCGGATGGAAGGTTGTAAAGAAGGTGGAGCCTCTTCTGAGTGGTGCCCAGTGGCAGGACCAGAGGTAACAGGCAGAAACTGAAACACAGGAGGTGCCGTCTGAACATCAGGAAACACTTTTTCACTGTGAGCGTGACCGAGTACAGGCACAGGTTCCCTAGGCAAGTTGTGGAGTCTCCGTCTTTGGACATGCTCAACCCAAATGTACGTGGGTCTGAGCAACCTGGTCTAGATGACCCTGCTTTGAGCAGCAGGGATTGGACTAGCTAATATACAGACGTTCCTCTCAATCTCAACTATTCTGTGATATGTATGTTTGGTATATAGGGAAACAGTACTATGCAAATAGCTGACTTCACTGATGAAAGGGATGAGTTCAGCACATTTAGACTATTCTTGTTCAAAAGGTAAGAATGCCCATGATAAGCAAGATGTTATTTAATAATTCCTCTGCCCCAATAAATTAGACTCTTATGGAAGTGAAAGAATGGTAATTTAGCTCTCCTACAGTGCTTTTATCAGTATGTACAAAAAAGAGGTGTGATTTTTCTTAGCTTTACTTGTGGGTTAATTGAGGCACAACAGGTGACATGAAAATGGAATTGATTGGTCTTTGGAGAGCCTACAGAGAATACTAAGAGAAGTAAATAATGCCAAATCTAAACCAGACATATTGATCAAAGTAACCCCATGTGTTTACTTCTGTATTCTCTTCCTGTAATTTAATAGCCTTGTGCTGCTTTGTCTGAATGAACAACTTTTTTTGGTGCTGTAATGTTAAGTTGAACTGCTTCTGTATTACGTACTTTTTGCACAAAGTTATGAAAATATTTACCTACTTGGCAATGCATATATGAACATGTATCTTCATGATAATTTTAAGACTGGTTTTAGATTTTGTTACCACAGGGTAATATATGGAATTACATGTTGCAGGCTACAATATTTTTTTTTTTTAAGACTTACCAAAAGCTATGCTTCTGAAAAGCACCTGAGTTAAGATCTTTGCTTAAAATTGGCTTCTTGGTGCAATTGTTCAGTTTTTGTCCCATCATTCGCCTAATTAAAGCATCATCTGTGTTTGGAAACAACTGTTTTGTGATTCCTGCAAAATAAAGAGATGATATATATCAGGCCTCCAAATTAGGGAAACAACAGATGTATGATCAAAATCACATTTCTTCCATCTTTGAAATTTCCAGCTACTTCAGCTTCAGCTCTAGTTACTGTGCTATCTTTACACACTACATCATTGATTCTGAGTTTGATAATATGATTCGGGTCAAAATTATTCTGGTATTACCGATAATCATAGAATCATAGAATGGCTTAGGTTGGAAGGGACCTTAAAGATCATCAAGTTCCAACCCGCCTGCAATGGGCAGGGACACCTCCCACTAGACCATGCTGCTCAAAGCCCCATCCACCCTGGCCTTGAACACTTCCAGGGATGTGGCCTCCACAATTTCTTTGGGCAGCCTGTTCCCGTGCCTCACCAGCTTCAGAGTAAAGAATTTCTTCATAATATCTAAACTAAATCTACCCTCTCTCAGTTTAAAACTAGTACCCCTTGTCTTGTCACTACACTCCCTGATAAAGTGTCCCTGCCCATCTTTCCTGTAGGTCCCCTTTAAGTACTGGAAGGCCGCTATAAGGTCTCCCCAGAGCCTTCTCTCCTCCAGGAGAGAACAACCCCAACCCACTCAGCGAGTCTTCACAGGAGAGGTGCTCCAGCCCTCTGATCATCTTCGTGGCCCTCCTCTGGACCTGCTCCAACAGGTCCATGTCTTTCCCGTGCTGAGGGCTCCAGAGTTGGATGCAGTACTCCAGGTGGAGTCTCACCAGAGCAGAGTAGAGGGTCAGAATCACCTCCCTTGACCTGCTGGCCACGCTTCTTTTGGTGCAGCCCAGGATCTACTAACTCATTTTCTACAGTCCTAGAACTCCCAGGCTTCCATCTTATTTTTCATCTTTTCTTTTTCTTTCTATTTGAATTCAGGAGTGTTTTAATTTCCCTTAATAAACTTCTCTGACTTCCCTTCATCATGGAATTCTCAGCAGAATGCTGTATTGAGTGTCCTAATTATCTTCTCTGCTTCTCTTTTCAGTTTTGTCTAGATCCTTCCCCAGAATCCACCTTTAGAGAAGTCACTAGTAACTCTTAAAATCATAGAATCATTTAGGTTGGAAAAGACCATTAAGATCTTTGAGTCCAACCGTTCTTCTTATCCCATGAAATCTTTTTAATTTTTCTCATACATCATTCTGAAATTGTCTCATCTTACTGCCTCTAAATATATTTTCCCCATCTTACACACCCTTTTGTTTTCTCTCTCTTGACTTTCAGCCTTTTTCTCTAGCTAGGTTCTTAAGGAAGAGTTTTTTTTGCAACTTTTGAAACTCCTGGCCAACTGCAACAAAACTGGACCAAGGTACTGGAACTGGAGCTAAGCTGGGAAGGGAACTGAGAGAACTGGGGAAGTCCAAGGGAATGGCAAAGGGCGATTCCAGTACAGGAGTTTAGGCTATGTCGGCCAACTATTAAGCTATAGGTGGGACTCCAATAAAAATCAGGCTTCATGTGCTCACAAAATACTGTTTTCTTTAAAGCTGCTACTTCCATCTGAAATGATTCCTTCCTATGCACCAAACATTTTTTGCCTTAAACCTCAGCATAAGCCAAATTTTGTTTGCTTCTCTGATCACTGTTCCTGTCTTCTGCACTTACTGTCTCATTTTGCCTCCAGTGCTATTTAAAATGTCAGAATTCATAACATTCACTAACTTCAGAATATAGCAGGCATTATTTTAAATTTGATCCGAGTGTGTCCTCTCTTTGCCTTCCCTTACCCGTTATTGTCATGCTCTAAAGTTTGACTGTTGTAGATTAACCTTTCAAAGGCTAAAAATATTCATAATATCACTGTGCTGAGTAGCCACTTAAGTAAAACCCACAAAATTCACACAATAGAAATACTACTACTTAGCATTTCACTGACAGTATTTGTAACAGATGGGTTAAAGAAGTATGTAGCTGAAGAAGGAAATATGAAACAGCACATCGCCTGAGTAGACCAGCTGTTAAGCATTACAGCCCCTCCCTCAGAGAAAGCCCTCTGTCAAGTCAGTGCCACATTGAGTAATGTTAACAAGTCATCACCTATTATTTCCTGAACTTCATTCTGATTCATAGCTGGTTTCGCCGCTTTGTCCTTTGAAGAGGAGGACTTTGCACCTGTCAGGCTGTGCGTAGCCATGTATTCATGTGTATAAAGTGCTTGCATCAAGTCATTTATAAACTTTTGAGGTTTGCTTTTGTTACAAAGTGCTATCTGCCACTTTTCGATCTTGAACTGGAAAACAAAATTGATCACAGAATCAATTTAGGTTGGAAAAGACCTTTAAGATCATCATAGGCATAAGATCAGTATAGGCATACTGCAGTTCTCTAGAAAGATTATATAGTATTACCTCTGAAATATTTTTATTAATTTTCTATTTTTAAACCACAATTTCAAAAGTAATCTCTGCAAACTGTGTGCTTGAGATCAATGCTAAACTTGCATACCACTCAACGTTTGCAACTGTACACACAGTCTGATTTTTTTTCAGAAGCAAGTGTGGGGCAGACTAAGGACCCCATTCATCCGAGCACACACTTCACCAAGCCATCCTGATTACTCACCAGTAGAGACAGGACATGTTCAGACATATCTAAATCCTTCTGCTTGCACTCCATGCAGGCTGGCTGTGGTCCAGTTCTGGCATGGATCCTGTACAGCCTCGGGAAGCATGGCACTATGCCCAAGCTAATATTCCTGCCTCCAAGCAGACATGCCCTAAGAACTGTGACATCTGGCCCTGGGCTTTGAGGGTGACTTCTGCACACAGCAGTTGTACAGCCTAAGTATTTGAACTCTCCTAGTGGGCAATTTTGAGCTACCTCTATTATGTAAGGCTAGGTTGCTTAGAAAATCAGGTATTTTTATTTCTTTGGAGATGTTAAGTCAAATTTTGTGTAGTGCAATATTCAGTCAAAACATCATACCCTGATAATTCATAATAGATTTCTTTGGATTTTAGGACCCCATGACAACGTATGAGAATGATTTCCACCAACTAGCATGACTCAGTGCATGAGAATGTTTATGTAAATTGTGAATGCAGAAGGTAGAATTATTCATTTTGTTGTGTCTTTATATTTATCATGTACAGCCTCTGTGCCTCAGATTTCTTAATTGTGCTCTGTTACAATTACAGAGAATGGGGGAACATCTTTACTCAGTGTCTCTCTCTGTATATGTATTTCTACTTAACTGCTGGACAGTGTCTGGAACAAGAGCAGAAACATGCCATTCTTCATTTATTTATTAACAGTTTAAACAGACTGCTGGTATTTTTCTTAGATTATCTCTGAAACACTACCATTCCCCTTTGGTGTCCAAACCGTTAGGTTGGAAGTTATCCCTGGATCTCAGTACTTTCTCCATGCATCCACATTCTGCCCTTAGTCACAGATGTGCAAAGCCACAGAAATCAAAGTGAGTTTGAGCGTGTACCAGTACATTGAATTAAGTCTAGTGTTTCTCATGGAAAAAGCTTTCTGCACAAAAGGAGGTCATTAATCACGTCATCAGCTGAATGGTGATAACATAATTTTTACTGATGCTTATTTTTTTATATTTATTATAATGTAACAGTAAAGTTTATACTGTATAAAGTTTTATTTTTTATGCCTGAAATTGCCTTTTAACTGACCTGTTTTTCGTTCTGTTGCTCCTCATCTTCCACATTCAAAGTTATTGGTGAGCTGGAGTTACTGTGCATAGCTGCATATGAATCTGCTAACGGATTGTTAGATGCTTTCCAAACAGCATGTGAATGCAGACTGGACGTAGATGATGTCACTCCCCCCTTGAGCAGTGCTTCAGCCATCCCTACCAGTTCCTCAAAATGGGTGACTGCCTGTGGCAACACTGAAATCAAATGGAAAGTGAGGGGTAAAATAGTAATTGAAGCTTTCACACTCTAATTACATAAGCATGGATATTTTTGCATTTAGATTCCTGTCATAATGCAAAAGAATCAAAGTAGTCAGAAAAGATGCTTTAATGTACTTTTTTCCTATCCTCTCAAATGTTTTCCTGCCATTCTGCTGTCCCCACCCATGAAGATCTGGCCTCTGTTTCTAGAACAGGATAGATCAGTCTCTGCAAGGCTAAGAAGTTTACACCCATCATGGCACTAAGCAGGCTATTTCTCTTTTTGCTATCTCAAAATCTCTACAAGTCTGTAGAGCTATTGAATATAGGCTAAGTAATGTTATGTCTGATTTTTTTTTTTTTTTGCTTCAAAGAAGTTACATAGACTGCATAGGACTGCATAAACTTTTTTTTCTCCTCTTTTTTAATCTATAGAGGATATCTTTTAAATAACCTTTTCTCCAAGTAATATTTATTTTCAAATATAAACTTTTATTGAGTCCATTAAGAAGAATAAATTTAGAGCAAAAAGGATCCAAGGGATAAAGAAACAGCAAGATACAGAATCACTGAATTACAGAAAATAAGGTAGAAGACTAATACAAGTGATTAAGATACAATGCAAATGGACCTAAATGTGTAAGAAAAGTTGTCAGACACTAACAAAATGTTTAAAAATAATACTCAAAAGGTGGAGATGAATGGTTCAAACCAAGATGAATAACATATGGAATGGAATCAGGTGGGCAATGAAACTGATAAGCACTTGCAAAATCATGTGACAATAAAAAAAAGAGATACCAGGCTGTCTAGGGACGGTATGATGCAGCTGGCAAGGGAAGGAGCAAATCCTCTTTAAACCTTATTCATTCACTAATGTTTTGAAAATTTGGATGCAGTCTCATCTGCCCCAAAATAAGGGACAGAGACAAGCAAGAGGGGCTTCAGAGATGATAACTAAGTGCTGAAGGATTCATTTATAAAAGAACAAAATGGTTCACCTCTGGGAAAGGACTAAATTTGTTGCACCTGGAACTAACTCAGATTATCAATACTGAGGAATTACCAAAGTAATTAGAAATTAGATCATTCCAGAATAAATAAAATTTCAGTAGATCAAGAAGGACTGCTAATAAATAAAGATAGTTGGACTGGTCAGTGGAGTGTTTGAACTTAGCCAATGGTTATACACAGCATACAGAAAGGTTCTCTTGGGAACAACTGACTTAGGATTTAGACAGATTTTTCCATTTCTAACTCTGTGATTGCATGGCCTCTGTGTAAGACAGTTTTTTCTAAGTGCTGCTGGAATCAAATGTTGCGATGTATCAAAGACTTCGATGCTAATAGTCGGCCTTGATCGTGTCAGGTGCTTGAGCATCCATAATTCCCATCCAAATGACCTCTTATAAATCAAGCTTTTCATGACCTTCAGGCTTTCCTCTTCATCAAAATAATTCCCCTGACTTTACCTTGAAGCATCACCAGGGACTGCCTTAGGCGGCAGTTTTCTCTCATGGTGTCTGTCAGCTTCCTCTTGAGACTTTTTATTTTGGCACACAGTTCTACCTTGGATAGTTGAAATAAAGGCTCTTCATCATCACTGCTACTTTCACTGTACAGAAAGTTGCTTCCTGAATACGGTTCTCTCTGGAAAAAAAAAAACAAACAACCAAACCAACCCCGTGCTATCTGGAGCCACAACAGCATAAAATTAATGCATTAAAACTAACATTAAAGTATCTGGCTAAATCAGAATATTCTCTTTGTACGCAGAATGCATAAACAGACTCAGTGCATTTTAATAAAGGCTGTTACTGGACATAGCTATTACCATTCCTGTTAAAAATAAAAATGCAATGTCAGTGTAGCATGTAACTTAGGTACTTCTTCCTCTGTTCTCCATCCCCAATTTTCTAAGGCAGTGTCTTTTAGAACCGTTAACTTCACTAAAACAAAAGCCTTACCCCGCCTAAACAAATACATTTCAGTTTGCTTTTGCTTAATACATTAAAATTGCTGAAGATGAGATGTTTACCTGTTTGTTAATTAAAGATGTTTCAAGTTGACTCAGGATGTTGTCAGGAGCAGATGTCTGCAATGATTTCTTTCTTTTTATATGCTTCATCATCTTCCCCTGTAAGCAAAAGCATAATGGTGCCTTTGCATTCCTGTAGAGCCTTTCATTACAGTATCTCACAGTATACCATAAACTTTTATTCACTGTGCACTTGACGTTCTTGGTTAGTATTTTTTGAAAATATGTTTGTAACTTTTTATTAAGATTTATGTTTTCTTTTCCTGCATTTTGTCACTGTGGCTCTCAGTACAATGCAAAGCTCAGAAAACCTGATCCCTTCCCTTTCTTATGCAGTGGTCAGACTTCTGTCTTACGGGAGAAAAACTACTGAAGCTACAGAGCATCCAAGTCTCAAATAAGACTTTTCTCTTTGAATAGCAAAGGACAAAATCTATTGGCCTACTCTGACAGGTTATTGTGCTGAGGCACCATGTGAAGACTGCCTGTATTCCTACCTTTACTATACATACTTTGTGTATTATATTGTGAAGAATCAATAGTTACAGTCTATTCCATTCCATTAGGGGCCTACCAGTATCAGGCACATAAAGACAGAAACTCACCTGTTCTTTATCCAGGTCACTGTCCTCACTTTCTGAGAATATCATTTCTATCCTCTTCCTCTTGCCTTTTCCAAGGACTTGTATTTTTGTAATTTCATCTGCCTGTAATATCTTTTGCATCATTTCCACCAGCTCTTGGGGGTCATCTGAAGTGATGGAAAAAAAAGGCCAAAGCACAGAAAATCAGGTAGCACTACCTTACAACTAGATTAAAATTTCATAATCAGACAAGTGCTCTGGAACTGCACTCACCACTCATATACACGACTTTCACCAGGTGCTTTTCTGTCTTTCTTTCTCCCACAGGCCAGTTTACTAGCACATGCTCATTTGGTTTCAGAAGTCTCTCTAGTTCATTGTCATCGCTGGGAAGGTCCTGTATCCATGAAGTCTCTCCAATTTGCAGTGAATTATCATTTACAAAATCAAACAGTGTGAATTTTTTCATTGTTAAGTGGTTTTCTTGTCACACAGACACTGCCTGCAGGACATCATAGGAAAAATAGCTGTTACTGTGTTGTGCCACAGGAATGTTACAAGAATACTTTAAAAAGCCCCTATTCCTGGATATCAGTAATTACCTTGTATGAAAATATCCTGGATAATGAAGTGAAAACTGCCAAGCAGTGTGTTATATCTCCCCTGAAAGATGGGAGATGGTCTACTCAATACATGTACATCAGACAGTTGCCTCCAAAACTATGCACAGAAAACAGCTTTCACTCACAGAGCCCTTGCTTCCATATTACTGCTATGCCTAATCCATCTCCTGGCTGGGATCTCTATTACTACTACATTTTCCCCAACAAAAGTTTTCAGTCCAGCCTCTGACTAAAAGATACAGGTGTGATAAAGACTTTCCCTAGGACAAAAGAAAGTGCTAGCGCTACATGCTATTAAGAGGGATGTATGACTTCCAGGGCTGTATTAATCACCTCACGGGCAGCAAGACGTACAATTGCAGCCATAGAAGACCAACCCAGAACAACCCAGGACAATGGACTGGGTGAGGTATGGCACATTCTGGCAGTGGAAAACTTGATGGATGAAAGAAATGACAGGCTGAGTACTGGAAGAGAGCTGGGCTGCTTCATAAAGAGTAACAGCAACAGGGAGAACCCTAACCCAAATATACAGCTAAATCTTTTGCTTACATAAAAAAAATATTTTTAAAGCAAAAGACCATTTCTGAGCTTTTTAAAGCACTGGAGTTCTACACTGGGAGAAGAGAACAAGTCATACTTTGTGCTTTATTTTATCTAATGAAGCTGATATGCCTTACACGAAAGTGTGAAATGTAACATACATTATTAAACTCTACTGGAAATGTAAGCGGTTCATTTAAGAGTTTCCATTATACTCACAGAAGATATTTTCTACTTTAAAATTATTAAATCAGATAAAACAAATAAATAGAAGATCTGATTTTGTCAAACCTTGATCTTCTTTCCAATAAACATATGGTTTATCCTGTCAGTTCATAGAAGTGAAGTACTTTTACAGAGCTGAAAACTCATGAATTCCCAGATGTGACAGCGTGATTTGTGATTTACTTGGCCTCAATCAGTCAGAAGCAAATCTAGTGCCTCATGCAGAGGCTGTCAAAAAGGTAACTCAGAGCTAGGAAAGGAGAATTATGTGAGGTTATTATGTCAAAGTGAGAAAATCTGGCTGCAGTGCTCCAAGACGCAATGTCAATTCGTTTGCAGAAGCCCAGCTCACCACTATCACCATGTCTGTGCTACGCCTCAACAGAGCTGGCTTTTCACACAGGGGTGAACTTGTTAATTTGCGAAAGACAGCTGCGCTCTTGTCAACATGTTTACTGATACAATGAGGCAAGCGGTGTAAGAAATCGCCATTAAAAAGAGTATTAAATCATGCTTTTATGCAGAATGTGTTGAGTGTGATAGCAGTAGAATTATTAAGTACTGCCCTGCTGAAGAAAGGAGACTGTGTTTGCAAGAATTCGCATTAATTTTCTTTAAAGACAGTTAGAAAGACCAGGAAACATCCATCCCATATAAATTCTGGAGAGAAAGCAGCCTGAATATCTATGCCTATCATGAATCGCTGGAGGCCTTGTTCTGCCACCGATCCATGCTGAGTGGATCCTCATACCACAAACAGGGATCATTCAAATGAATAAACATATAGACAAAGGAGAACCCAAAGGGAGAAGAGTTTCAGCACTGACCTCACTAGAGATAGGTGAGGTCCAAAATGAAATGGCAGATTTGTCCGAAAAACAATATCCCAGATTTAAAACAGCTGGTGTGTGCAATCACATTGGGCATCAGTACTCTTCCTTCTTTTTCAAAATGTTTTAGAGTATATACCCCAGTCAGCTTAGAATTTCTTATCTGGCACGAAGATGTTAACTTCTACCTCTGATCAACACAGCACAGCAATACCCATCACCCAGTTCTTTGATTCTCAAATGAAGTACTTTCAGCTTTCCCCTCCTTGGACCTTGGCAGTTGCGAGCTACTTCATTACCCTCCTAAAAGCCCACGCAAGATCAACAGAATTGCAGGAAAGTTAGAGCTGCCAGTGCGCTCACACTAACAGCTGATTGACTGACTTCCATATTTTTTTTAATGTTTCCCTGTAGTCCTCTTAACCGTCTGTATGTTGTCTCTCATTTTGTATTGAGACAAATATCCTCTGAGCCATGGGATGTGCTTGTGGTCTGTGCTCGTACAGGGTTAGTGAGTCAGCCCGGGATTTCCGGGGACGCACTGAATACACAGGCTGTTCACAGCATGGAGGGTAAGCGATGATTCCCCACAGCACTGGGGCTATTCACACATATGCTGTGCCAACACTGTGCACATTGGTAGCAAGTCCAACAGCTTTTGGAAGGTATCAGACTTACGTACGTGTTGTACAGCTTAATGAAGTCAATGGACATGTGGACTTCTGGATGTTCAGAGCCCATGACAGCAGACTGGTGCTACTGGTAGACTGTGAAGGCCATGGCCAGCAAAATCCCTTGCACAGTCTTTACACCAAACAAGCACCTGGATCCACAAAAATCCATCCCGCCACTCAAAGCTAGGGACAATTTTTACCACGGTCATGGCAGGACTTGGAGCTCAGCAATTTGTCTACATTATCTATAAAGCACTTTAGAGCTGTCAAGATTCTTGCCTATGGTGGGAGGGTGTACTAGTAAACAGCTAAACTGATTTCACCACGAGTCTTCGCTGCCAAGTTAAAATATAAGCTACATAGGATGCTAAGAGAAATAAGGAATGAATTTCACAAGTAGTCATGGGAGGAGGGACAGGGTTGAGGTTGTGGAATCTCCTTCTCTGGAGATATGCAAAACCTGCCTGGATGTGTTCCTGTCCAACCTGCTGTAGGTGACCCTGCTTTGGCAGGGGGGTTGGACTAGGTGATCTCCGAAGGTCCCTTCCAATCCCTACCATTCTGTGATTCTGTGATCCACGCCTTTAGCTCCCGGCAGGAGTCTGAAAGCCTCCTGGCAGCTTTCCAAGGCTTGTGCTCAGTCCTGTTGCTCCTGCTGCTTTGAAGGCATCAAAGCAGGAATAGTAGTTGAGGGGCAGCAACAGCAACTGGCCGGGTCCCCTCTCCTCTGCTGTGGCTTTGCCAGGCATCAATTCAACTGCTAGCATTATATATAAAGTAATGAAACTATTACATTGCCAAATAAAAGGAACAGAGCGCAATAGTTAATTGTTAGTATTTTCCTGTTATGGATGGAGCTGTGGCTTCAACTCTGCTGACAGACATTAATCAAATTGTGTCTTTCCACAGAATTTATTGTGACAACCCATGCGCCCTGGGGATAATACCTAACTGTCTGCTGGCATCATCTGTAGCCAGTGATTAAACGGAATGGAAATGTAGAACAAAATGTCTTTAATGAAGAAAAGGAACAGTAAAATACTTCACTTATGGGAAGAGAAGTCCTGCAGTGTTTTCTCACCCTGTTCTCCCCCTGTAGTCAATGTGAACCTTGTCTGAGTCAGGACTGCTGCAGATGCCTCCCTCTAAAATGTTTTATTTGCCGTGGAGCACTGGAACAGGCTGCCCAGAGAGGTGGTGGAGTCTCCCACTCTGGAGACATTCAAAACCCGCCTGGACGCTGTCCTGTGTAACGTGCTGTAGGTGACCCTGCTCTGGCAAGAGGGTTGGACTAGATGATCTCCAGAGGTCCCTTCCAACCCTAACAATTCTGTGAATTCTGTGAATACTGTATCATCAGGAAAAATATAATCTTGAGGAGTGGGATTAATCTTACCAAACTTTTACTGCCTTAAAAGCGAGAGGGTGTCTAGCCACATTTGGCTCAGTCACCACAGAGAGAGAGGTGATTCATCTCACCCTAAGACACGTATCTAAAAGACAGCAGATGACTTACTGTCTGGGAGTGCCTGTTTCTCTTCACTGACTATTCAGTGACCATACAGGGGTAGGTATGTCTCCTTATAGAAGCTGGTTTGGTCCAACCCATCCGATACTAGCTTTTTCTATTTTTGAATAGATTTTGAATAGCAGTATAGATTCCAGTAGACCTTCTGCTATAGGGAGCCAAAAGGATGGAGTATGAAGTCTGTTAAAGTGTATCTGGTTCCCTGTTTTAAATCTTTCTAACACAGTTCTGCAAGTCATCAAGTAAGATTCCTGACACTGAGTGCTTTGTTCAGTGGTTTAATTGGAAGATATATAATCGTTCATAGACATTACCCTGTGTGCAGCTACTAACCACAGAGGCAGAATTATATGATCTTTGAAAGCCACTTATGTTTTGCAAGTTACTTAATTCTGCTATATTCTCCATTTGAAAACACTAGCTACTTATTTGAGAAGTACTGAAATGCAAATCTATGATTTATCGCTGTCCTAAGACAAAAATCTGCCTTTACTTTTTCTAAAAGCAGGTAATTTGTAGATGGAGGGGGGAAGGAAGGAGCCATTTAATTTTAGAGCTCTGCAGAGGAAACACTAATTAGACTCCTTAATTTTTACAAACATGTTAACACCTCACATTCTGCACAGATGCTACAAATTTGCACACAGAATATTGTTACTAAGCAACCCCAAAAGCCAGAACAACAACAACAAAAAAAACCCCACAAAAGTAATTTAAAGATGTATCTCACCCTTTGACTGACATAGTCTGTTCCATTCAGCCAGCGAGTTGGCAGATGGCATACTGAGATCATTATTTCTCTTTCCTTTCAGTAAACGTAGTTTAAGGTATTACAAATTCACAACATGAGATTGTAGGCCTACTGAGGCCGATGGGTCTGATTCTGCCATGGCTTCAAACAGGGCTTTGCTACTGATCTCAGCAAAACAAGAAACTGTACCACAACCGTGCAACACAGATCCATAATAAAGCACTAAGATTTTATATTAGCTACCCTGTAAATTCAGCCTTTGATAATTCCAGTTTTCCTTGGGAAAAAAAAAAAAAACAAACCAAACAACAACCAGCTTTTACTGGGC